TTGCATTTGTCCACATCGGTTTGCTGGTTCCTGACGGACGCTTGATCAAAGGGGCAGGTACTGTAGTATTTTGACGGCCATTTTAATGTAGGACAGGTCAGTGTTCGAAGTATTTTGAAGTCATTCGAAATCTTGTGTCTTCTGCGTCTTCATGTGTCTTCACTTTTGCTACAGTGCGCACGATAATGCACACGATGGGTTGCAACCACCGAAACGCACCAAACCTTTGGATCCTTCGACGAACGGTTTAGCTCTGAAGAATCGGGAGAGCTCGACGGTCTCACCCGAACTCGATGGCTCGCTGTGCGATCCAGGGGACCGGACCAAACAGAGTGTGCTAAATTTGCAAACAAGCAGTGAGACCAAGATAGATCAATGGAACATGAGACCATGAGACCATGAGGTAATATATATATATATATCATTTCTACTATGACCGAGAAGCAGTCACTTCGTCATCACCATGTAGGAGCGTTCAATCTCTTAGACAATTCGGAACATGGAGGCATTAGCTTCCAGCAGACTCGCGAACTCGTCCGCGCCAATTGTGCTGTGGCAAAAAGGCACCTCACTTCACTTCCTGGGCGTCTCAGAAGCCATAGCGTAGAATCATCACTCTAGTAGTAACAAGTGCCTCGCTAGTAGTAACAAGTGCCTTACTACTAGTAACAAGTGCCTTCCTAGTAGTTATTAGTAGAAGGTCAACTGCTCTCTATGCCCAGGACCATAGCTCCAAGTCTTTGAGGACAGAACTGCATTGAGCTTGAATAGAAACTGTCCAGAGCCGTATTCGCTCATCATGCCACCATGAGCTTCTTGAGAGGCGCAACACACACAGAACTCATCAAGCATCTCAACTGCAGCAAATGAAGCTGTACAGACCCACTGGTACCACTCCCGATCAAAAACAGAATGGTCAGTTGCGACACACTTTAGATCCAAACCACGCAAAGCCGTTTGGCCTTTTGGTGTGGAACGGTGTGTATTGCAAATTGAAGGTCCGCTCCTGAGGGGGAGGAGGTTGCTACAAAGAAGGTATGCGTTGGGGATACAAAGGAAGTGTGATCAGTTGCCAGAGGGCAACTGAGCATCACAGACTGTTTTGCTCACACTGCAACGTTTCCACCTCAGCCTCTTAACTCCTGCCCTCAGACATGTCTTTTCTTTGCAGGTGGGTACAGAACATGGCCTGGAGCCTAGCTCGTGGGGCGACTGCCCTGCTGCTCCACATTGGTTGAATATCACCGAGCTACGTCGTTTGCTGCACACGGTTCGCCCTGTTCCTTCATGGCTGAGGTGGTCACCTTAGCAGAGCGCCAAGCGGAACAGCGGTCCAGGCAGCTCGAGGTGGGCCGTGAAATTGTGGAAAAGGGGGGAACCCCGCAACCAGAGGGTGACTGGAATGTTTCTTTTGGAAGGAGGTGTGGAGGCCTATTCATGAAACAAGGCCATAAACTGAGCAAAAGGCCCAAAGATGTACGATTGGCGCATGTCGGTGCTCAAGAGAGCAGGCAAGATGGTGGTTGGGGAAGCCTACCACATGAGCAGCTTCAAAAACCTCTATGATGGAAAGTGTGCAAACTGTAATCTCACATTCTTTCGCGAAAGCCAAAACGCAGGTCGCGAAAGGTTCGCGAAAGCCCCGCGAAAGAACCCCAGAAGAACAGCGTCGCGAAAGCTTTCGCGAAAGTCGAATTTCTTGTGCATGTCGTGTTGTTTATGTGGGTGACCATATTTTTATGCAGGCAGCCGCAGCAGGCCAGCCAGCCAGCCAGCCAGCCGCAGCACACCAGCCAGCAGCAGCAGCAGCGCTGAAGAGCAAGTGTTTCAGGGGAAAATCGAAAAGCCCAGACGAATTTCCGCGAAACCCGCGCGAAAGCCTCGCGAAAGAACCGCGAAAGTCGAAAATATCCGGGAAAGGTATCTGGCCCCAGCAAAAAGTTTCAGCAAGTTTTCCTCCTCTTCTGATGACAACAATAATACTTGAACGGTGCTGCTACAACTCCTTGTGCCAGGATGTTGCCGGAAAGAAATTTGTTCAGTTTTGACCACCCTAAGGACACTTATATCGGATAACTTATATAGATCAATCACTTTATTGTACAATATCCCAATCGAATTTCCCAATCGAAAACGAATCGCCGCGAAAGCCGCCGCGAAAGCCCCACATAACACCACACCTTCCGCGAAAGCCAGAATGCAGGCCGCGAAAGCTCCGCGAAAGCTTTGCGAAAGCAAACCTGGATTATACAAAAAAGTAATAGGGGTTTTCGAAGCTGCTCACATGGAGTTTTATTGTGTGGCAAGTCAAGAGATAGTCCCGGAGTAATGGCAACCATTCGAATCTTCTGCTTGGACAAATTGAACAAATACACCTTTGGGCCCCAGCTGCTTTGCCTCGGAACCATTTTAGATTGCTTGGCTTTGCCGCGCGTGTGATGCGATTGCGGGCAAGTAGGTCGCCTGGGTCGCCGCGGGGTCGGCCGAACTTTGCTTCATCTCTCAAGTAGACCAAACCAGGTGTTTTTTTGAGGATCTTGGCACCGCTCCAAGTAGTCCAGAGTTTTGAAGGTCAATGTTTCTACATGTTTCTACGATCCGACGGATGCTATCGAAAACGACGCTCCAGAAAACATGTGAACGTGAAGCGCAGATACTTCCTTGATCTTCCTAATCATTCAACCAAACTTGCGCCTTGCACGGTGCCCTTGGACACCTCGATTACAAGGACTTCGCATGGTAATCGTGCTGGTACTACGAAAGTTATGTGTTTCTTTGCGATTCCTTTTCTTTAGGGCCACAGCCTTACTTCCGTGGGCTGAAGACGCATGGCTTGAGGCCCCTCGTGCTCGCAGGATAGTGGCAACCCCATGTAGCATGGTTTCGTGGACGCCCCCGTTTTCTCGCCGCCTCGTTTCTTGCGCCTTCAACGACCCCACGCTGCGCGCTGGCAGCTCCTGGCCGTCGAGTTGCTTCGTGACTTGAAGCGCTCCTGTCACACCGCGCATGCGCTGGGACGGCGACAATTGATGCTCGGGTCGCGTTTGGGATGAAACAGGATGGTTTTGAGTGGATTTCCAGCTTTGGGAATCAAAGAACGTGTGAATCTTTAGAAGTGATAAGAATCTCATTCTTCAGCATAAATTGAGTCAGTGTCGATGCCTTTTAGAACATTCAAACAGGTTGATAGCCCCGTATGGCCCAGGACCTGGGGTGGTGTGGTGCCAGGAGTACAAGCTGGCAGTGAAGAGGACATGGATGATGTGTTGAAAATACTGGCGGCTTGGCTCGCAAGATTCCAGCAAGGCTTAGTTATAGAGGTTCTTCTTCTGTTATAACTTTGCAAGGGCTTTCACAGAATACACTGATCTTTCATGAATTTTCATGAAGCTTCTACTTTTGTGATACTTGGAGACCTTGATTCATGGTGCTTTGCTGTCAGAAAGTGGTGGAGCATGCTGCGTAAGTGATCATGTCTAAGGATCAGAAGATGACCGAAGACCATGATTCGGGCGTTGGCTTCAAGAAAGTAGAATGGCGCCTGGTCTTGCTCTGTTGTCACTTAGTTGTGAGATGCTGCTAGCGGCCTCGTGGAAGAGAGTGGAAGATTCAATGGCTACGCATGATGATGAGGATGATATAGGATGATGATGATGATGATGATGACGATGATGCCGTACCTTTACATGTACCTTTACATATGGGTTGGTCAATTGAATCTAGGTGCAAAGCTCAAGCACCCAGCGAGTGGGCTCGGGTGCCCAGCTACAAGTATTCCGCCAAAAAATGCCGATGCTGAGCAATTTAAGAGCCTGATGCACTCGACATTGTGTTGAAGGCATTAAACGGATAGAGAAAGTAGCTTGTTGCATTTCAGTCCATTGCTTTCGGAAGTCCACTGTAATTTTATGTATACACATGTATGTAGTTAAAACAAGTGACATCAGCGAACCTGTTTCAGTGCAACATGAGCACGACGGAGATGCGGCCTTGGGACTCAAGAAGGCATCCTTTTGCTGAGCAAAAGCTCCACCTCCTGTGCATATCCAAGGTTGTTCAACCATCGCGATTTGGTTCGCATATGCAACTTCGAGTGCACTGGAGCTGGGCACTTGGAGATTGTGGCATTTTTGCATGTTTCTGTAACATTTTGTGACATCTCGCATGGCACCTTCAGTTGTGTGCTTCTTTTGGTCTATTCGTTTCGTTGTGGGCCTATCTTGCCACAGAAAACGCTTGGAAGATTGAGCCGCCACGAGGCGATGAAGCTGGCATCTACTTCGAGTGAGCCGGTTGGTGGGTTGGCAGCACGTTGATAACGTGTTCACCACTCAAGGAGCTAATCGGCCAGTTGATTGAATGGACAACCCACTTTTCGGCCAACTTTGACACCGTGCCATCCTTAAGGGATCGGCAGGATGAAGGGTTTTCTCAAGCGACCCTTCAAGGTGTGCTTTTTTGAACATGCAGAGCTGTGCTTTTCGCCAGAGCTGCAGAGTTCAAGCACGTGCACCGGAATTGCATGAATGGAATACAAAAAGAACTACACGGTCCCCATTCTCTCTTCACGCTGATATTGGAAGCTGACTGGACTGTAGTTTTGTGATTGTTGGAGCATTTGCTTCAGGCAGGCTTTGTAACTTCACTTTAGCCAGAACATGCGACAGCGCTCACTGAGACAAGCTTCAGAGTAGGGCCTATATAGATGTTGCAAGAGCCAACAAAGCAAAGTACGACTTTTTGACCCCAGGACATCCCAGGACCAGCGGTGTTTGAGAGACAGGTCATCCACAAGGCAGACAAATCAATATGAGATACACTTCCGGTGGATTCTCTTTCTTCTCGCCGAGGCGCTACTGTAGTATTTTGAACGGAGCCAACAGTTAACACGCTCTTCACCCCATGAAAGAGTCGAACGCTGACTCAAACCTCTGACCTTAAAGGATTTCAATCCTAAGGGCTGGGCTGTCGCCTGCTCATGCTTTGGCATTCTATGGGCCATGGATTCAGGCCACGCACCATCGTTGTCGTGTTTCGTCGACCACCGGGAACTTCTAAATCTATCATGAATGCAGTTGGAAGTTGATTGAATCCAAACGTAGAGAAGCCTCTCCCGCAAGACTCTTACCCGAAGATATGCGCCAACACTGGTTTGCTGACTTCGATATTAGGATACTGTATTCCATCTCGGTTGAAGACAACTAGGCCCTGTCAGGTGAGCCTGAAGCTGAAGTTTGGGATCTCCTGGCTGGATCTGCTGTGGAAGCTGAGGTCAAGGCCGATTGGGGAGCATTGTGTTCTAAAACCACGGTCCAAACCGGGTCTTCTGGGCATGCAAGCCATTGCGAGAGGTATCAAGGAGTGTCTTCAAGAGAGCCCAAAGTGCAGCTGTTATTGCGAGGTCGAACGGTTCCGCTGAACTTCTTCTTTTGCGTCGGAAGCGCTTTGAGACTTGCAAGGCGCCTGCGAGGATAGCAGCTACTCCTGCTCCTGCAGCTGCACCTGTTCCTTCTGTGGCACCTGTCGATGTGCCACGAGAAAGCAGCAAGTGTGGGCCTTAGCTTCTTCACATTTTCTACGAATGCTACACTGCTACACCCAAAGATCAAAGATGACGGATCATACCCAGCCCCACTGTGTGGTTTGATGGCCCATTGCACTTGAACATCGCTCGAGGCCTCGACCTGAACAGACTGCTCCACGCTTTCGATCTCGAGCCAGCGCGGTCAGCTTAGATGGACGAAGATCGACGGGTTCCGTCTGTCTTGGGGCATTCCGCTGATGTTCCCAGGCGAGTCGGCTCGTTCCGGAGGAGATCTCCCAAAATCAGGAGCTGAATGCTGCCATCGCCGCGTGTCTTCCCAGGACGCACGACTTTGAGGTGTGACTTCGACGGTCGCAGTGCGTTTTGCTTATTTTTGCATGAAACATGAAGGCTTTTGAGGCTTTAAGCAGGGGCCCCTTAAGCAGGATGCCAAGAATGCACGCCTCAAGAGCTGAAAGCTTCTAGTTACTAGAAAGCTTTATGGTTACTAGTAGTGATGGCCTCCACCTAGTAGCTTCTAGTTACTAGAAAGCTTTATTGTTACTAAGAAGCTTCAAAGACCTAAAAAACTTCTTGTGACTACAGGTGAAACGATTCCTAGTGAAAGGATTCGCAAGGAAGCTTCTAGTTCCTTGAAAGCATAAATATCTCCTTCATGCTTCAATGCTTCACCAAGAGTTGCAGTTTCTACTGTGATGCAGATCTACAAGGTCTTTGCTTTGTGAGATTTCAAAAGAGACTTCCAGGTTCATCGTTGCATTTGGAAGCTGCGCCGGGCTGCTGCACGACATGTTGGCTGGCCACCCTGGTGGGGAGTGTTTAGATGAACAATGATGACGTGCTTTGCGATTTTACTTGAGATCAAATACGTAATGCAGGTGAAGCCAAATGGGAAGAGGACAAATATAGACACGGCTAGAATGCATCTGCTTTCTCTTGCCTTTGTGTATCTCTGATACGAGGTTCCAGTGAAATGATGATCAATCAGTAATCAGATGCAATCAGATCTCTAGCTCTTGGCAAGACTGGAGAGGAGCATAGAAACAGTTTTGGTAGCCGATACTAGTCAGACTCCATCGGACGGTGCCTGACGGGGCTCCAAGGCTTGCAGCTGCCTGAAGGTTTGCAAGGATGGGTCCCCACCTGAGCTCAAACATGTTCAATGCACCTGCACATGGTCAATTTGATGTGACACACCTGCGCTGCATTGATTCTGCATCATGGAAAACCCCGTGCACGCACTCATGTTTTGCAGTTGAAGGTCATGCCATGAAAGGTATGAAGGTGACAACATGTCACATCGTCGAAGACCCTTTTTATGCTCAGAAAAGCCTGCTCCGCTCATGCAGGTTATGAGCCCAACGCAAGGACGTTGAGAGATTTTCGAAGTCCACCACCCTGAGAGGTGTGCTGGTCCCCATGGCGAACCCTTTTTGGTCGAAAGACCTCCAGGAAGCATTTGAGCTTCAAGCTGCGCGGCCTGACAGCCTTCCGGCTGTCCCTGACGAGAGCTCGGAGGAGCTGCAGTCAGCGAGCGGTCCATCCATGGCCTCGGAACCAGAGGAGCTTCCTTTGCAAGATGAGGAAACCGTGGAGGAGCAAGAGCCGGCACTTGAGGACCAAGATGAAGAACATATGGTGCAATCAGTGCAGAGACAGCTGAAAGGCTGGGCATCAGCATGCAAGCAGCTGAAAGGCTGGCAATCGGTGCAATGGCAGCTGAGGAGCCTGCAATCAGCGCGGTGGCGGCTGAGAGACCTGCAATCAGTGCAGAGACAGCTGAAAGGCTGGGCATCAGCATGCAAGCAGCTGAAAGGCTGGCAATCGGTGCAATGGCAGCTGAGGAGCCTGCAATCAGTGCGGTGGCAGCTGAGGAGCCTTGGGCCTCAGCGTGCAAGCAGCTGAGAGGCTGGCGGCCAGTGCAAAGAGAGCTGAAAGACCTTGGTCCGGAAAAGGTGGGACTGGTGCCATGAAAGGTGAGGTGAAGATTATTCCAGGATGGCCTACAACGACGAGTTCCGATGCCACCAATGAGTTGGCTGGAAAAAGATCGAAGTCATGAAAAGTCACGCCAACATCATCATGGAGAAGGGCACCGTTCTCGAGAACACCAACGAACCGGACGTGGACGTCGTCAGGGTGACGATAGAGGTGGAGACTTGCAACGGGCCTTAGAAGCTCAAGTTGTAGAGGAACTTCGCCGTCAAAATGAAGACCTAAGGCTGCGAGTGGCGGCATTACAAACGGCATCCACCAAGATGAAGGCAGTGAAAAAACCTGCTCAACCTGTCCTGGAGAAGTTCCCGGAGATGTTCACGCCCATGGAAATGGTCAGTGGCACACGGCGAACTCCAGGGGGAACTCAAGTCCCACCTGGAACACCTCCGGATGTGGACGAGGACATGGACGAGGGCTCAAAGGTGGCAACTGAACTACACCTGTACCGTGGCCAATTGACCCAGTGGTCCCTGGGAAGCGTGCTCATGATGAGAGCTTCTGGAAGATCTTCGAGGCTGGCCAAACAGTGTGGAAAAACTATGAAGACAACAAACCATACCAGGAGGTGACCGTGGGGCCAGTGGACCTGTTCGACAACATCATCTACAGGGACCTGGAGAACGTGAAGGCGGGGCATGTCCCCGACATGAACTACCTCTTCAACATGATGGTGAAGGTCATGTGAGAAGGGAAGTCCGAAGTGGTTCAGTGGCTCGCGGAAGTGTGAGTGGGACTACCACTTGGGACATCGTGGACGAGCAGTTCGACAAGTCGTGGAATGGTGCGGCTGCGAACAATCAGGCAGCGAGGCTGCAGTGGCTGGAGAGGGAGCTCAGTGAACTTCGAGGCCGCATCCAACAACAAGAACAAGGGGCCTGTGCAAGTGCAGTTCCTGCTCAGAAGGGAACGGTGAAAGGAGGTGAACCTGTCAACCATGGAGTGCAGCATGAATGTCAAGGAGCACTACATGGAGAAGGACATGCACCACCACCGTTGACCAAAGCAACAAAAGCGGAAACCCGCAGTGATGGCATGGAGCTGCAGGCACGAGACTCAGACCTGCGAAGTGTGAGCGTGGTGCTGCCGAAGCTGCCGGAGGAAGGGTCCCATCAAGCTGCACTTCGATGCGGTGACTGGCTGGCTGAAATTACACCATTGGTGGCAGACGTGAGCTCACATGCGGTGTATGGTGGAGCCAGCTCATGGACAATGTGGGTCAGGTGTACAAAAGATGGTTGGACTCGCACTCCCTCGCGAGGCTCAGCGTTGAGATTGATGTCAAGCCAAATGCTTCACGGTTGGAAAGCAGAAGACGTCCATACTCCTCGCAGCTTTGCCAGTGGACTGAGCCACCGACAAAAGAGGAGCGCCGAGATGCCAAAGTTGAGGGGAAGTGGAATGGCTACACCTTCTTCGAACTCCATGATCCGGGACGTGGTGCAGAGATGATCATACTACATTCCTGGACAGCGACCTGCTGGGATGGAGAATGTTCCTGATCACCACAAGCTCCCACCTGACATGAGATGGAAACCGACAGAGGCAGCAGCAAGGGCTTCAGCGTCAACGGCGGAGGCATCGGCATCAACAGCGGGGGCATCAGCATCGGCGCCATCAGCAAGATGGAGTGTGCCTGTAGCACCAAGAGAGGCATCTAAGCCTGTGAGCTCCCGATGGACTACGTGAAGTGCTGCAGGCATTGTCCAATCACGAGCTTGACAGGGACAGACCTCCTGGCGAAGACCCTATTTTTCGGGTGCAGGTCGGCAATCGCCTATATCATCGCGATGACTTGATGAGACAGGCAATCCATTTGGAAAAATAGCCCAAAACTCGACCTATCACTGACCTTGGGACGAACTGCTGCAGGGGTACCGTGCTACATTGCGGCGCCTGGAGGAAATTCAAGTGGCAGTGGCACGACAATCCCGATCAGTCAATGATTGCAGCTGCTCCAGTGATTCGCAGCGGCTACGCTCAGGGCACGGGAGGTGACGGCGGCGCAGTGGTCCTGTTGGCGGTGGAGAACACATTGCCACCAGGGGGGCCCGATGCAGGCTGCAGCAGGTGCATACTATGCGTTGCAGGAAGCGAATGAACCACCTCAGATTGACGGGTGGGACATCGTTGGGGCACGAGACATCCGAAGACGGCCATTGGATTCAGATGCCGGTAGCTATGATCCATGGGCAGATGTCTGAGCCCATGTACAGAAGAGGGTCTTGTACTCAGGGTCCAGCGTCTATGAAGTGTGAGGGTCTTGAGCTGGTGCCAATGGCACATGTTTTGGAATGAAACCCGCCTGGAGGACCGAAGTAGCAGCGAGCTGAGTAAGTCCCAGGTGTGGTTTGATCTTTGATCAAAGGGGGAGTGCATCATGGAAATCCCCGTGCACGCACTCATGTTTTGCAGTTGAAGGTCATGCCATGAAAGGTATGAAGGTGACAACATGTCACATCCTCGAAGACCCTTTTTATGCTCAGAAAAGCTTGCTCCGCTCATGCAGATTACCCAAATAGTCAGGTCTATGTCAATGTATATATACTGTATAATACATATATATATATATATATATATCAAAAATTTGTTCACTAGTGGCCTAGCTTCCCTCAGTGGGCTGCGAGCCGTCCTAGGCCACTGCTTTGGCAGACCTTTTCAGTACCTTTGTACCAAGTGTTTGATGGCTCAGGGGTGTCGGAAGTCACTTTCACCACTTTCTGTTGCTGGCAAGGATTTATGGTGTCGGCGTTCAAACATCGCTTCGTGGCCTGTGGAATGGTCTGTTGCGAAAGAAGTCTCCTGGAAAGCCTTACAACATCCTGCACATCACAAAACGTGTGTATTCTATTTTTTAGTCAAAGGCCGTGTCATGTGCCATCGCTGGGACGAGGACTTCGCCGCGAGACTTGCCTTTTGAGGTGGAGAGCACGACGATCTTTGGAGAAGCCAACTTCGGCGCCTGTTGCATTGACGATCTGGGTGTCAGGACCTCAAAACAAGATCTGGGCATCAGAGACGGAATTTGACATGTTGATATTGTGATATGGAGGGGTGTAAATTGGGACAAGTGAGACCCTCTCGCGATCCAGAATGGTTGGGCTTCTTCAGATAGCATGATTAGGCTCACGTCGGATTTGGACGTTGCCGTGTTTTGCTGTTGCCGCCCTTAGAGGCAACAGCTCTTGGGGTGGACTTTTTGATCCACTATGGTCCCTTGGCGAGAAAACTTGTACATCGCGACCACCACAACTACAGCGTGTATTCACCCTCCCAACTAAAGGGGAACATGCTTTGGGAGGTCTCCCATTTTGAGAGATTTCTGCAGGTAGACTGTTCTGTATATTTTCGTGAGGTTCATGACCACACGCTGTATCAAGAGCGATTCTCAAGTGTATCACCCGTCGCTCAAAATCGTCGCTCAATGTGAATGTGTTTAGCTTGGTGGGTGTCACAAGTGGGATATCTCTCGACTCTTGTGCAAGCCAACCATGCACTCCAGCACTTGGCTGGTGGTGAACAGCATTAGCGGTGTTTCGTTGCCAAGTTTCGGTTTGCTTGGACCACTTCATGACAACTTGCCGGGCTTTGCCTACAGCTCACTTCCCGACCACTCTATTTCGCCTGTGGTTGTTCCAATGGATGCGTCAGGTCATTCTTGCTTGGTGGCACCCTCGGGATTTGGGTACTGAAGCGACATTGCAGAACTGGGACACTCCTGCAGATCTATTACTATTGAGCTTTTGAGGTGCCAACAGACCAGACGACAGTCACCACACTCTATGTCCATGTAGAGGCTCACATCGAATCTGCTGTAGACTCGCGGTGTTGCAACTTTAAAGCAAGAGCCATGTCATCGCTCCTTCAATCGAGGGCATGGGCCTAAAAACCTATATAATATATACATATACACATTGCTCCGGCTTTCTAAGGTACACATTTTTGACAATATAGACTATAGATGTGTTTCTGCAGAAACCATAGCGGCCAGGTTGAAGTGGACGTGGCACATTTGGTGGACACTGTTCGACATAACTTTATGCCTGACAAGCGTGAGACCCTCAGGTGTCAATTTCAATCACAAGACTGCCAAAGCTTACTGTTTTTGTTTTTCTCGTTCTCTCGCTCTGTTTCTCTCTCTCTCTCTCTTTCTCTCTCTTTCTTTCTCTCTCTCTCTCAGCTCTCTCTCTTTCTTTTTCTCTCTCTTTATATATATATATATATTTTTTTTTTCTTATTTGTTTCTCTCTTTTTTTAAATATGTTTTTCTTACATTATAACGTTTTCTATTTTTAAATATATTTCAATCTTTTTATCTCTGCCTCTATTTCTTCTTTATCTCTTTTTCTATCTTTTTATCACTTTTTCTATCTTTTTATCTATTTTTCTCACTCCTTCTCTCTTTTTCTCCCTCCCTCCCTCCCTCCCTCCGGGATACGTATCAATAAATTTTATCGATTCGCATCAAAAGAACAATTGATTCCTATCAGCAACAAATAGATTTGTATCATTTGTTTCCCCTGGTCCCTTGGCACCTGTTGGCAAAGCTTCGGGCAAGAAGGAGCAATTCCAACTTGGAGCATTTGTGGACCACGGGGCAGAAAGGAAGAATTCCAAAATTTTGCGCATATGATTTGATATTGTGGGCCGCAGGAAGGGTAAAACTTAGAGCAGGAAGGAGCACGCCCAACTTGGAGCGAACTTTTTGTCGGCCACCCAAGGATAAGTTTTCTAAAGATAGGCTTCCCATAACCGTCGCCAATGGCCAGAAGATAGCGTTAAGGTCAAGGAAGAGTAGACTTTTTATAGAGCACGCTCCAGCCACGAACAAGAGCCCAGAACAACGTTTGGTCACAGATATTTACTTGTTCAAAAAATGTTTCCAAATTTGTTGACAGGGCAGGCGTAGCCCCTTGTGCACCTCGAAGTGCTGATTTCCTGGCAGGGACAGTACTTTGGACCTCAAAGTGCAAACTTCGTGGCAGTTTTGTGGCAAATGCAGGGTTTTGTTAACCTCGAAGTGTAGGTTTCATGGCAGGCGCAACTCTTGTGTGCCTCGACATGCTGATCTCGTGGTGGGTGGCGCAAGAGACTCGTTTTCTATATACGAATCAAATTTTGTTTTGATTTAAACATGTTGCTTGATAGTATAGTCTGGCCCTCCCACCCTTCCCTTCCCTTCCCTTCCCTTCCCTTCCCTTCCCTTCCCTTCCCTCCCTCCATCCCTCTTCCCCTCTTGTGTTTGCTGAACCGATGCGATCCATGGTGTTCATTTGTTTCCACAAAACATTGCGGTCTTTGTAGGACACGCCCAAGGACCCGCATTTGGCGGCCAATCTCGAGATTCAATAATTTTTCGCCAGGTCTAGCCTTCATGAGCAGCGTGCAGTTCTCTTCTGGCATGCTTCAGGCGGGAGTGGGCAATGGTGATTTGGAATCTCTGAGGTTGGTTGGCTGGTGTCATGGGGCTGTAAAGAAACCTGAGTGCCATGCAAACTGTTGTAACATGATCTTGACCTGGCAATTAGTCCGAGTCCTTTGTGACTTTGGAAAGCAGTCTTCGAATGTTTTTGACATCTCCGACATGTTTTGAGGCAGTCGAGGAACTGCGACAAGAGGCTGGAAATGCCTCGATGACCGTTGGTTTTGTGGCCTCACGGGAGACTAGGTCGCTGCTTCAGCACATATGTATATTATACATATTATACATATATTATATATTATATATGATATATATTATATATTATATATGATTACTATATTTGTACAAATTTACGTGTATATAGAGTGTGCAACACTTGAAGCTTACGTGCAAGTATACAGTTTTCACAGCCGCATGGTTCTTCCTTTTGCCTGCACCAATGCTGGTAACTCATTGAAGGCAGATGATAAAGCACGAGCTGCAGTGCCACAGGCTGCAACTCTTTTGTTCGCTTCTGATTCGACCCACTACAGTTCAGCAACAGGCCGAACACCAAAAGCAAAGGAGAAACAATAGGGGAGTGCTAGGCCTATGCAAATCAAAAGCAAGAGGGATTCCTCCACCCCAACGTCAGCTTTCGATTCAATCATCTAAAGGACATTTGGGACAACGTGTTTTCCACTTTTTTTTGAATGATTGGAGAGCAAACGAACATCATAGGAGAAATAGGACGGACTGTCCTGCTAGCGTGTCACGCGCTGATGAGAGGTGAAGCCCCTGGGTGTGGGCGAAACCTTGGGCTGTACCTCCCCAAAGGTGGGTGATGTGGATGCAGCTGGGGCACCCGATGATTCGAAAGAAGAGGAGAAATGCAGCTGGCTCCGATCTATCAATAGGACTGAACGGTGAATATGTATGAAAGTGTATGAATATGTGGCAAAGTCTTCATTGAGATTGATGAAGAAAGAAGAAGTAGAACAGGTGCATGAAGAGTTGAAGGGTTTGGCCACGACTTGGAGAAAGGGCACAGCTAGTACTTTTTTTATACTTTTTCAGACAATTGTCATTTACGTCCACGTGATAGCTGAAGAGTTAGGCGGTCGAAGTCTGACACCCACGACATTCTTTTTTCCTGCTGCGTTTCTGCATGTGCACGCAAGTCGCTTTAAAGCGTTTGCAGCAAAGCAGTCAACCCGTTGATGGCATTGAGAGCCGGTGAATGTAACAGAGAAACCCTAGAGCAAGCATGCTTGATCCTCATTGTACGCATCATCCTGCCAATTTCTGCTTCACCACCGCTGTCAAGCAGCACCCATACAGAGCTGATGTTGCCTCCAGCTGAGGTGATTTTCGTGTGTGATGGACGCTTTCACTTGGAAAGCGCTATGATACAAAATCCGTTTTCCTGGCATGACATTGCTTTGTTCGTCTTGTCCTTCTTCCGACTGCTTCAAAGTTGGACCCCAGAAACCATCAAGCATTCCGCACCTGACAGGCACGTGCGGGGTAGCTTTTTCCGCTATGACCCAGCCTGCTTCACCTTGACGTGCCCTGAGCATGTTTCCCTGAAGTCAGAGTAAGTCAGCAATCTGTCGATTCTTTAGCTGGGATACTGATCCAACAAATTGCATTCACTTCGTGACTTAGCCCATTGGCCGAGCAAATCTTCCTTTTAGACTGTGGTTGTGGGTCCAATTCCTGGGATGTTACATGGTTGACTACCGAACAACCTGGAGTATCCAGGATGTCAGTCATTGTCAACCTACCATGATTCTCATGGTCTTGGGGTCTTCGCTTCTCACCATGCCGAAGTGCTCACAGGCGCGAAGGCTTCGCTCATGATGAGCTGCATGCAGAACGACGGGCAGCCATTGCAAAAGCAAAAGATGCCCGGTTGGTGCGGTACTCAGCATCCTGCTGAGAACATATTCATGGGATCATGGGGATGCGCAAAAAGCTTTTCATGCCATCACCAGATGGTTCTTCAGGTTTGAACGATATATGACCTCTTCAGGTTTGAGCGATGGTTGCGGGGGATGTGAACCTTTATTTTTGTCTGGGAGCGTGCCAGGACACACCAGTCACTAAAGCATGCCATGAATTGCCGCAAGAACCGTGGGGACGATCTCTCGAGTGAAAAGAACTGTCAGGTTGGGCTGATCCTTGGGACTTTAGGACGGCAGGGCAGTGTTGGAGTCCTCGAGGAAATCGAGCAACTCTTGCAGAAACGAGGCCGCCTTTGGGTGGGCCGGCAAGATGCGGGAAGCAGGTTTCAAAGCTTTCTTTTCAGAGCTTTTCAGATCAGGCATCGGCATCGGTATGAATGATCAAAACCACCCCAGCCAATGGGCAAATACGGCCAAGGCAAATGCGCCAGGGTTCCTAGTAGCGTCCTTGTTCTTAGTAGTAAGGCCAGGAGCCCCTAGTAGCGTCCTTGCTCCTAGTAGCGTCCTTGTTCCTTTGTTCATGGGCGCAGGTGTGGCCCACTTCATCATCCTCCTGTCGGAGATTTCGCCAGAGCGACTGGCACTCATGTGTGGTGCTCAGGATTGTGCTGGACATGCGATCATGAGACTCTACACTGCACACTCCAAAGCAGCGCCTACTCATCTCCTGTCGATGTCATAGGACAGGGAGCATGAGCAGAGGTGTGTTCAGCCTGTTTGTTGTTTGCCTTTTGCTCCCCTGTTTTTTTTTTGCACTCTTCTGCTTTCTTTCGTTGTCTAATTCTAGTGGTACCTGTACAGGCAAATGACCAAGTCGTCTCTTGTTTATCTACATTGTGGGTTTTAGCTTGGGGAAAGCAAATGTGGAAAGTCGTCTCTTCTCTTCTTTCCGCAAGCTGAATGCAGGAGTTTCCAGCACTTGTTACTTTTTCTTGAACATGTTGTAAATGCAGCGTTCACATGCGGAGTTGAGGATATCTCACAGTGACCTAGATGATTCACATGTTGCGTTTAGCTTGGGAAGAGGTATCATGTGTAGCCATTTCTAGTCAAGTCAGCTCTTGGGTGCGCCCTTGCTTCTCTTGGAGATGTCCAAGTCAAGTGCGATGAAGACAATGAAGGCCATGCAGCCCATGAAGGCCAAGAAGGCCATGAAGGCAATTGACAATGTTTGATTCAAATGTTGTTTCAACCATGGATCAAAAAGTGCCTGTGATAAATGTTGGCCTTCCGTAATGATGTGAAATCCTTATTGGGTCAGAGTCCCCCCCATGGCAATTTTTGGCGGCATCCGGTATCCTTAAGTGTAAGCCCTGGAGTTCCATTCCAATGCGTTCAATTGTTTTCGTTTGCTTTCACTTTGCTTGCATGTTGCTTTCATGTTACTTTCATTCTGCTTACACTTTGCTTTCACTTGCTTTCCTTTTTCTTTGATGCTGCTTTCATTTGCGTTCATGTTGCTTTCATTCTGCGTTCAGTTGCTCTTTAATGTATACTGTATCCTGAATATATATATATATATAATATGAGCACACTTTCCAATCCTACGACATTGTGATCAGAGCCTGGTGAACAGCAATCCACACAAACTTGTAGTGATCCTGACCTTGTGCAAATGAATCACTTCCAAGTGTGCTTCAAGTGTCCGTTCATCTCCTCGCATGTGGAAATACTGGCTTTGATCGGCTTCTGCCCTCAGGTCTAAAGTAGATGCCTGGGTCCAAGTGGCTTGTCCTCGCCTCTCGATGGACTGGGGAAGCAGCGCTTATTCGAAGCCCATGTTGCCTGGCCAGAACTTTTGAGTCTTTGCACTTTGGTTAGTTTTAAGGCGAAATCTGTGCTTAGACAGAGCCCAGGCTGACATCTTATGAAGCTCATGTTGCCTTTGGTGCTTGATCCTCAGTGAGGGAGTGCTGAGTAGGATTGATGAGTATTTCTGTTCCTAGTTAGTATATATATATATATACATACATACACTAGAGCATTATGTGTCAGCGCAACCTGCATGTGGCTTGCCGCGCCCCTGTTGGTACTGCCCGGCATCAGGTGACACAACGAAGCATGCATACCACCTGATACTATGTATGCCTTTCTGTCAAATTCCTGCTGCCATCAGCGCGCCCTCCTTGGGCAATCAAAATACTGACTAACCAAAAGCTCTTAGTGTCGCACCACAATCAAAATGGGGCCTCTGGTCACTGAGGAACAGTCATCACGTATCTTATTTGTAACGAACTTACATTTGTACTATTTCATTTTATGTGGACTATTTTGTCCTTAGCAATCTGTGGGTGGAATACTGGCGGTGGCTAGCGGTTGTGACCTCTCCATGTCGGTGGCTGTTGTGACTGGAGCCAATCGTATCCCGGGCATCGGTTATGAGATCGCACGGGGATTGGCTCATCGACTCCCAGAAGGAAGTAGCGTGGTGTTGACTGCCAGAGTGCCGGAGATGGGCACGGAGGCCATCGAAACGCTCAAAGAAGAGGTCGGGAAACGAGTGGAAGTGCTGTTTCATCAGCTTGACATTGGAGATGCAGCGTCAGTGGAAGAACTGCGTAAGTTCATCTCAAGCAAGTTCGGAGCCATTGATGTGCTTGTGAACAATGCAGGATTAGCATTTCCTTTGTCAGACCCCACACCGTTCAAAGATCAGGCAAGACAGAGTATCGACGTAAACTATTACGGCACAAAACGCATGCTGACCATTTTGCGGCCGCTCTTAAAGCCACACTCCCGGGCAGTCGGGATCTCCTCTACTATGGGTCAGTTGAGTTCCTGGTCTCAATCCTTGCAAGAGCAGCTTTTGTCTGACTCGTTAACACTAGAAGGCTTGGATACCATTGCCGAAGACTTTGTGAAAGCAGCTCAATTGGGACAACATCGGGAGAAAGGCTTTCCTGGCTCCGCCTACGGAACCTCCAAGGCTCTGATGACTCAATTGCACCGTGTTTTGGCCAAAGAGGGCCCGCCTCCCGGCCTCCTGTGCTCAGTTTGTCCTGGGCTGTGCCGAACTTACATGGCTACAGGTCGTGGCACCTTCATGAGCAATGTGCTTTGGCTGGCCTCTTTTGTGGTCGGCAGTTCCGCAGAAGGAGGTGCGGATACGCCCCTTTGGCTTTGCACAGAGCTTCCTGAAGCGGATTTTCCTACGCATCATGGCCGTTTCCTGCGAGGGCGCACGGTGAGCAGCTATTGATCTGTGAGTCGAACATAGCGGTGCCAAAAGTGCTGACTTGATCAGGACGATGATCTAAACAAGCTGATACAAGCTGTTTGAAGCTTTCACGAGAGAAAAGAGAAGACTGCAAGAGTCAAGAGTAGCTTTGCATCACAATGATCAGGGACCAATCCCTGTACCAAGGATGTGGAATACAAAGATGTCACTGCCTTGGGCTCCGTTTCACGCTAGTCACTGGCATGTCAGAATTTGGGCTGGTAATTGAGTTAGTTGCTAGCCAGCATATGTTAGATGAGTGATTCTTTCAAGTCAATGGCGATGGCTTCTACTGAAAGCTATGAAACGCAGACCAGTAGCTTCTTGCTACTAGTAGCGATGCCCTGAGCTACTAGTAGCTTCTTGCTATTACCCCTTCAGCAAATCAGTGTGACCAGATGTGACCAAGTCTCACGTCTTCGAAACTATGCTTGTCGCTGATGTGTCCAAGTAGGGGACCGCGAATGGAGGGGACGATCTGCAAAACCAACACATCTTCGCATGAGTGCTGTGGGACGTGACCCCACCATGGTGAGTATCCAATCCGCGGAACTACGAGTAATCGACAAGGTCTATCCGATGGACTACTACTCGAACAAGGGTGGCCAGTGGGCCAACTATGGTACCCATGGTGGACATGGAGGACAGTTTTGCCAAGCAGAGCCGGGAGAGATTACACGAAATTGCAGAATTGTAGGAAGTGCGCGATGCGTGCTGGGAATGCAGTTGAAATGGGATGTTTAATCCTGGTAGCCTGGGTAATACTATATATATAGCATATGTATATAGGGCGGACAAACACCACACAGCAAGTCAATAGCGAGCCTTGTTGAGACGGGCATGTGTAAAGCCTTCAAAGCTCCAAGCTATTTGGACGTGCACAGGAAGCCTGGCACCGAAGTGAAGCCCTCAACAGTGGAAGAATGTAGCAGGGGAATATGGAGTGACAAAGAGAGGTGCATGGGAACCTGTAAGCAATCTGCCCACTGCCTACGTGGTCTCCCAGTGTGAGTGCCTGGGGGACCAGCAGAGGTTCCGGCATCTTGGCAAAGGTCGACGCCACCAAGAGGCCAGGAACTTGGGACAAAAAGGGAAAGTTGAGCTTGTTGCATTGAAGTACGCCTGATCAAGCAACACTTGAACATGCTTGCCAGCGTTGATAGCTTGCTTTGGCATTTGGTGCACAAGACAAGCCCAGGTTGAGTACGACTAGTCCGCTGAAACACGGGTGGCTGCCCTGCGTTGAGAAATCACGTTGACAATGAGATGCTCCCGTTGCTTCTCAGCTCCACTTGTTTCGTCAGTCACTGGGAGGCCTTGGCTTCCGAGAAGCCCGCATGCAGTTATGCACGGTTGGCTTTAATGTGCATGTTTGTGGCTCTCAGCGGATTCTTCCGTCTCAACCCGTTGACATACTGAGCTCATCACTTTGCTTTCAAGGTTTCTCACATGCACCGTACATTTCACCACTTAGGTAAATTCAGAAGATTCTTGGAAACTATCTAAGTGTCTCAAGGAACAGCCTCCGAAGATTATTGTGCGATGCTGCACAACAAAGGACTCCTCCCACAGAAACACTTTTTGTCGACCAAACATGACCAAACCTTTGTTTGCCTCCTCCAATCAGAGAAGTCCAAAGATTAGACTTCTCTGAACATTTCGCAACTGGATGGTCTTCTGGCTCTTCCGGCATGCAAGAAAGGCAACATGAGAGAAACTCACGCAGACCATGGAACATGCGCAGCCCAAAGAATCGTCGTCTCTTTGTTTTCTGATGTTTTCTGTGGCAGGTAGTGCCAACGGTGGAATGGGCCTCCCGGCAGATTTGGCTCAGTTGTGACAGGTTGTGACTGTGGAGAGTTCTTTTGGCACCTTTTGATTCTTGACCTTCGTTTTCCTTCTGATACGGTTTCAATGTGAGCAAAAGGACAAGTCATGTCGTCTCCATAAACACTTTGCATCGCTACTAGTAACAAGGGCATTACTAGATCCAGATCCAGATCATCAAATCAGGTCATTGGATGCTGTCGAAAGCTCTAGCTCTACGGCACGAAACGCTGGCCCAGCTGCAGGCGAGTCCACAGCCTCGTATCCGTCTCCCGATTCCCTCTATTCCACGGTCGTTTTTCTGCTCCGTTTCAAGGGCGGAGACGCAGATGAGCTTCAAAGTCCGGGGGCACAGATTGCGGCATCAGAGACGATCTTTTTTTGCTCAAAAGAAAGTAAGAGAGGGCCAACACATATCAAAGCATCCTATGAACCGCCATTGACTTCGCAAAACTCTGCAATCACTGTGTATAGCGATAGGATCCCTGAAGAGCGATCCCTGTTCCAGGAATATGCTAACTCCAATGATATTTGGACATGTGTTTTGGACAAACATGTTTTTTAGAGCGATACCCAAAGGATACTAACGATACCTGCAGTGATACCTCAGAAATCTAGTCCTAGCCAACTCCCCATGTGTAGATGCACAACTCACAGACGCTACTAGCGTTTCCTCATGCCACGTACTTGTCGAGGGCAGAGAAACCACAAAGAATCCTCAGGGTTGAGAGAGATTGTCGGGTTCTTTGTTTTTTTATTACCATGGCTGCAGAATGACTAGCATGCTTTCACCGCCGCGCAGACAGGTGACATTCGCATTTGTTTGAAAGTAGCTCAAGTGATGGACAAAAAGGACGGTAGCGAGATTTATTGAGGAGAACTTGCAACAAGGGTGTGAGCCAGCTGAAGTGATTACAACTCTGTGTTGTTTCTGTGCAGAGCCCAGACAAGCGGGTCCGTGCTAGCTAGTCCTTTAGGCAATGCGAGCTACACTGGCAGCAATGTCACCCAATGTCCCGAGGCAGGCTGAGCGGACTTTTGTCCCACTGAACTTAATTCTAAGTTTTTATTCTAATAGCTTCTTGCTCCTAGTAGTATGGCCAGGAGCCCCTAGTAGCGTCCTTGCTCCTAGTAGCGATGCCGTTTGCTCCTAGTAGCGTCCCATAGATCAAGCATGATTTGAAATGCACAGAGCAGTTGAGATTCTCTTTCATTGACACTTCCGAGCACCTTGGACGACGCACAATACAATAGATGAGAAGGAACTATAGAGATAAGATGTAACCATATTTGAGTGTTTTTGAGTTAACCTGTTGAAAGAATTGCATGGAGGCCTGGGCAGAAGTGCAAGGATGGCAAGATAATGACGTGAGATTGCTGATCCCGTATCTCGACGCGAAGGCAGGGCCTCCGAAAGGGTTGTGGTGCCTCCAAACATCTAGCAAAAAGAAGCTACTAGGAGCAAAGGGCATCGCTACTAGGAGCAAGGACACTACTAGGGGCGCTCCTGGCGTTCTTACTAGTAGCAAGAAGCTACTAGTAACAAGGGCATCGCTACTAGTAACAAGAAGCTACTAGGGGCTCCTGGCCTTACCACCAGGAGCAAGAAGCTAATCCAAACATGCGATTCACCTGAGACCGACCGATCGGCACCCAACCTTGTCGACCAGGTGAGCCATCCCTTGTCGATAGAAGCGGAGCCTATTGCAGTGGAGCCTGTCACAATGGAGCCGATTACCTTCGAGGCAAGGCTGTGGCTGGGGTGACCAGGAACGGAGAAAGACACAATCACAGCCTCCTTCAAGGCCAAGAGAAGTGACCGACGATGTAATTAATTCTTTCTTTGATGTAATCTCTTGGCGAAGGAGGCTGTGATGCCATTAACTATTGAATTATTTTGATGTATATAATTGTTTATAATTAATTGTTTTGGAGTGACCGATGATTTGTCATTCCACTCATCGCCCGTGAGCTGCGGAACCAGGTAAACCACCAAGAACGAGAGCGCGTTCTTTCCACCCGACCTGTTCCAGCCGTCCAGCCGGGCTCTTCAACCACGTCCAGCCGGGCTATTCGGCCTCCGTCACCAAGACCTCCAGCTGTTTTTGGCATCGGGACGCGGCCACCCACGCCAAGGGAAGGGAGGCGGAGCGATCGGGAAGGGAGGAAGCCCTGGGAGGTTCAAGAGGACGAACAGGTGGCTTTTGAAACGGCAGAAGAACGAAGGCCAGATCCAGATCACTGGGAAAAAACCAGACAAAGGGCTGGTATTCCAAGTGAAGGGAAAAAATCAGAAGAGAAGGAGGTTCAGACACATTGCAAGCCTCTGCCAGGCTTGATCGTGTTAACCAGGGCTGCCAACACTCTGTTTTGGTGTTTGGCGGCATGGCGCCAAGCCGTTTCCTTCTTGAGACTCCAAAGAAGTCTCGTCTCAAAGCACTCAGAACTGGAGGAGGCCCTGCAATTGGGTCGACAGTTGTCTACCTTCTCGCAGTCGGAAGAGGCCACCTGCCGTGAGCTTCGAGAGGAGTTACGGTCTGCCAGGGAGGCAGCAACTACTGCTAGGGAAAGGGATGTGGAGTTACAGCAGATGCAAGTGCAAGTGCAACAGATGCAGGGCATGCAGCATAGTTTTTATCATCAGGAAGGGCAAGAAATGAGATTGCTTAGAAAGGAACTTGAGCACACAAAGATGTGCGAAGCGGAAAACGCGCAAGCTGAGTGTGCAATTCTGCGCGCGGTTCGCGAAGAAATTGCAGTGAAAAGGCAGAAAGATCATGACCTGTTCAGAAATGAACTCCAAGCAGAGCAGGAGGCTTCCGAAGCACTTCGCCAGACGCTCAAGAGTCTTTCAGCAGATGCAGAGGCAACTTCTCGTCCCAGAAAGAATGGTGCGTCATTGAGAAAGATCTTGAAGTTGCACTCGGATTTGCCAGAGGCTGATTCCCAGCATTTGGTCTCTTTGGCATCGGAAGAAGCCACACAGATGAGGCAAAAAGCCCTTGAGGCGGAGAACCGCTGCAACGCTTTGTCTGACGAGCTGCACGTGCAAGACATCATATGCCGTCGCCTGCGTCTTGACGAAGGGCATTTCGAGCTGGAGGAGAATCAACTGGCAGAACAGCGGCTGGCTGAACGGCAGGCGCTGGAAAGAAATGAGATACATACCGAAAGAATGGCCCATGAATTGCAAGAAGAGCTGAGGCAGTCCCTCCGTCAGCAGCATGAGCTTCAGGAAACGCACGCAGCACATGCAAAGAAACTGGCTGAAATGGCTGAAGCAGAGCGCCAAAGTGCAGCTTCAAAGCTTTACCAGGTGGAATTTCAAGCCCATGAAATGCGTAGGAGGCACGAACAGGCAGAGGAGGCTTGGTCTCGACATGTGCAGGAGCCCATCGAATCATTGAGTTTGAATCCCACAAAATCTTTGAGTTGTTGGATAGATGCCTGATGTATCCTGATGTGTCAAATCATACTGGCCAGTTGA